GATTTCTCTCTACCAGTTTCTTTGGGCCTTGCTTGTGCCTCTGAAGCACTATTTTATTATTGAAGAATTCAAAACATGAAGATGAGCTGTTGAAAGTCAGAGAGGAAAGGCAACCTTGAGTTATACCCAACAGCTGTTCTGTCTCTTTGATGTTAAAAATCAATTGCCCAAAGGAGCAAAGGAGAAAACCTTTCAATCTTTCATTCACATTCTTAGATCTCATAGCATTTTACATTCAAACCTAGAGCGGGAAAGCCTGGCCAAAAAAATATATATATATATATGACCCTTGCATGGGAGGAAAGATCATGATCGTAGTCATTCTTTGTTCTTCTTAAAAATTGTTCATAACTTCAACCATGTGACATGCCATAACTTTACTCCAATCTACCACTGTGGTTCACGAAAATTAAATATATCACACAACTGATTTTAAATAAGGCATCTAACATATCTTAAACATGACAGAGGAAAACATATATATGTTGTCATTTTTAAACTTCCACTTTCTATAAAATGTATTAATAGCAAGATACTGCAGAATGGACTGAAATACATTTCAAGATCACAGAACATCTTAATCATCTTTAGAGCAGTAACTTTTCGTCAACTTGGAGCTCATTAATTTGAAAGAAAACACAACTGAAGACCAGACATTGATGAAGGCTATTCACTTTTCACAGTATTAACATGTTAATGCTTTATTTGTACAGAAACACTAATTACACTAATTACAGTGGAACCTTATAGCATTCATTGAAATATTCGTAAGCACTAAGGGCATGTATACTGATGAGCACTGAGTAATGTACGGAACTGTTCAATTGCTCTCCAAAGCTAATATAACAGTGTATGTTAATTACACTTGCATTAAAAAAATGGTAAAAACCAGTTCAATAGCACTTAGTTGGCATGAAAGAAGATAATTTCAGACACTCTTAAAATGTTAGCACCATAGAGGCAGTAAAGATCATTTAGAATATTTATCAATCTTCAAATTTGGAAACTGAGGCCCAAAGAGGTAAAGTACTCCTTACTCAAGTCTGGGCAGTTGGTTAACTATGGAGGAAGGTCTAGAACCAGGTCTCCTAGCTCCCTGTCAAATGCTCTTAATATCACACTACAGAGTACCCGAGTCCCAAAGCAAATCAAAGCCAGGCATGCTGTATAAATGTCTGTGTCATACAGTGAACTGTCCTAAGCCCTAGAAAAGAAATGGGCATAGAAAGAAGACACTACTTTTCTTTTTTTTAATTCTTTTTTTTTTTTTTAAGATTTTATCCATTTATTTGACAGAGAGATAGAGAGAGAAAACAAGTAGGCAGAGAGGCAGGCAGAGGGAGAGGGAGAAGCAGGCTCCCCGCTGAGCAGGGAGCCCGATGCGGGGCTTGATCCCAGGACCCCGGGATCATGACCTGAGCCGAAGGCAGCTGCTTAACCGACTGAGCCACCCAGGTGCCCCAAGACACTACTTTTCTTAAAGAAACTTACAGTCTTGTGAAGAAAACGAACCTGAAAAATTGTTTGAGTTGTAGTTTCAGATCTTAATTCAAGAAATAAATATATGTGACTATTTTGCATGTTGATGTGTGTTCCCATAAATATTGCAGGAGCTCTGAGGAAACATGATTCCTATGAGAAGGGGAGGTGGAGAAATGTCAGGGGAGGAAATGGGAGTTGAACTGGATCTTGCAAACTGGGGAGGATTTGTAAGGGGAGAAAGAAAAGACGGCATTTTAGGAAGATGGAACTGTGTGAATAGATACACATTCTACTCACATCTGTAAAGAGCTCCGCAAAACAACATATTATGTTATCACTCGTGTTAGGTGAGTGATACTGTCACTTAGCGTAAGGGCAATTTTCATCAAGAAGAGCATTAAATGGTTATTATCTGTCCTGGTGAACTGGGAAAAAAGATAGGAGCTGGGAACAATGAATGCAATGCTTTATTTACAGCTGACCCTTGAACAACGTGGGTTTGAACTGTGCAGGTCCACTTATACATAGGCTTTTTTTCAATAAGCACAGTGCAGCACTGTAAATATATTTTCTCAATAACATCTTCTTTCTCTAGCTTCCTTGATTGTGAGAATACAGTATATAATACATATAATACACAAAATATATGCTAATCAACTGTTTATGTTATCGGTAAGGCATCCAGTCAACAGTAGGCTGTTAGTTACGTTTTGGGGGAGTCCATATGTGGACTTTTGACTGCACAGATGGTCAGCACCCCTACCCCCCACATTGTTCAAGGGTTAACTGTATTTGCTTACTTATACCTCATTATTCCACAAAGAAATTGAGGTAGCTTTAAAAATTGGAAATAAACTAAGGAAAATGATAAGCCCAGGAATAAAAGCAGCACCCACAAAAAAGCAGACTATACAGTCCAGATGGCTGTTAGTCAGAGGTGGGGGCCAGAGGGATGGAAATAGAGTTGACCCTTTTCAGCATTTACAAGATTTTTCCTGCATTAGATTAAAAATAAGGCAAAAAGCTTGCAATTCAGGAGAAGCGGAGCATTTGCTAATACTGAGATGAGAGAAATTTCTCCTGAGTCCTCATAAAGAAGCCACTGAATGATGCAGTAGGTGCTGTCCTCAACCCCACCCCTGAGTTTATAGTTATGAAGAGTAATTTCACATGGTGGTCCTCATACTACCACTCAGTGTAGGACAAACACATCACATTTAGGTATGACCATTTACAAAACAGTGTGGCCCACATGCTTGGTCCTCCCATAACAGAAGAGGAAAATTTAGACTATGTACTGGATTGGAGGGACTATATATTCTTCAGTTCATATGGATTCATTTATTCACTCAAAATTTATTGATTGCATACAATGTGACAGACTTGGGAATATAGCCATGAATACAAGGGATGGTCATGCTCGTGAGTTAAATATTCTAGTGGTGGGAGAAGGATCACAGACAAACATATGTTAGGGGTGCCTTGGTGGTTCAGTCATTTAAGCGTCTGCCTTCGGCTCAGGTCATGATCCCGGAGTCCTGGGATCGAGTCCCACATCAGGTTCCCTGCTCAGCAATGAGTCTGCTTCTCCCTCTACACACCACCCCCCACGCCCAGCTCATGCTCTCTCTCAAATAAATAAATAAAATCTTAAAAAAAAAAAACAAAAAACATATGTTAGATGATGATAAATGCTATTGGGAAAAATAAGGCAGGACAAGGTGACAGAGAACATGATGGGCAGCGTGAGGTTGGTAGTTAGAAAGGGTAATCACAGACAAGCCCTCCGATAGGGTAATGTTTGTGCAGAAACCAGCATGATAGGAGGAAGGATACTCTAAGACGTGGAGAAAAGTGCTGCAGGCAAAGGGAACAGTTAGTGCAAAGGCCCCAAGAGAGAAGCATGCTTGGCATGTCTGAGTAATGGCACGACACCCAGCCAGGCAGAGGCAGGGGAAAGGTCTTATGAAAATGAACGGGACAGGATAAGGTGAGAAAAAGGAACAATGGCAGAGTCCATCTTTGCTTCAGGAATCTCCTATTGTGTCTGTTTCAACACAAGCCAAAGGTAGTTGAGGATTGCCAGTGTATACCGTAGAACACGACCATCCTTCCGTCAGCTTACCTACTGTGCTAAAACTTGCCCTGAAATCACCCACCACAGGCATGGGCTCTTGTCTAAAGCCCAACTACACTATATGGAGAATATTAGAGCATGAAAACTAAGCTTATAATTTCTGACACTTAAATATCCACAGAAAGTTCTAAATTGGCTTCCTGGTGAAACCTCCAAAGTTTTTTGAATGCAAATCGCACCTTTATGTAACTGACATGCAGATCAAATCATTCATGACATTTAAGCCAATGGAATGCTACAGGGCACCTTTCGAAGGTGTTGACTTTGATTTTAAAAGACAATCTGGCAATTGTGTGATAGCAGAATCCACTGTCTACTGAAGGCACTTATGTGTGTCAATAAAACAGTATCATCAATTTAGAAAAGACAATTTATGTTTGTTTCCCCTGAGCAGGGGACATGCATCCAGAATGCTGAAGAATAGTATCCAATCATTTAGACACAAGTGAAGAGAAGGAGTGGAATAAAAATATCCCTTTATGCCATGAGAAATGTTGTCTCTTCGGAGCCTGTTCTATAAGACTCATGTGATCTTTTAACAGGTACTGAGACACAGGATCTATTAAGATTATCAATAATTGGGGGCTCCTGGTGGCTCACTCGTTAAGCGTCTGTCTTTGGCTCAGGTCATGATCCCAGGGTCCTGGGATCGAGCCCTGTATCGGGCTCCCTGCTCAGCCGGAAGCCTGCTTCTCCCTCTCCCACTCCCCTTGCTTGTGTTCCCTCTCTCACTATCTTTCTCTCTCTGTCAAATAAATAAATAAAATCTTTAAAAATAAAAAAAGATTATCAATAATTGGTTGCATAATGAGTTTGGAGATCTGACTCCATCACCAATTCCCCAGAAAAAAAATAAGTAAATAGCAATAAAATTAGCAAATATTGTGTATTGTTCTTTCATTTATTTTAATTTAAACATTTTTTAATATTTTTAAAAAGATTTTATTTATTTGAGAAAGAGAGCACAGAGGGAGTGTGACAGGGAGAAGCAGACTCCCTACTGGGCAGAGAGCCCGATGTGGGGCTCGATCCCAGGACCCTGAGATCATGACCTGAGCCAAAGGCAGATGCTTAACTGACTGAGCCACCCAGGTGTCCCTTGCGTATTGTTCTTGACAGATTCCATCTCAAAGTGACACAGAATACATCAGTGACCTCTAATGGACCATCTTTGTCTAACGGCTACCTTCACTACACCGGGAGTATTGGAGTAAGAAAGCTACGCTTGTAATTTCTGGCAAGAAGGAAACTGACATAGAGATTGGTTGTCCAATATGAATCTACAAATTGAACCATCAGTACCAAAATCTGGATAATATTAATACATACATTCAATAGTAAAAATTTTTAAAAATCTGTGAAGTTCAAAGGACACAATTACCTGCTCAGCCAACAATGAAGCTAAGCTAGAATATGCATCTGCAAACTCGGGACCATATTTAATGGAGTCCTTCAGTAAGGAGATAGCCTCTTCTTTTTTCTCCTGGGACCTAGAGATTATAAAGAGGGAAAAAAACATCTTTTAATAACACCTTGTTTAAATCCTCTGATTGACGTTGAAATCTCATTTCTTTTAGCAAAGATAATCTGATTCCCTCTGGATTTCACTGCAAATGAATTACACTAGATTGTCTCAAGGTGCCAACAGTTTCTGTCTCTGAATTCTCAGTGGAAAGAGATTTAATGATGCTGCAGTTTATTCACTGATTTTTCTACCTTCTCTTTCCTGCTATGCACTTTCTTGAGAGCTTTCTTTAGTATTTTAGAAGTTTGTTAACCAGAAACCTTGACACTCAGAGGAGCAATTGTGGAGGCATCCGTGGGAGCTGGTTTACAATGATGTGGAAGATGAGCTGAACCCCTGGAGTACTAGTTGGACCCCCATAGGCTGGGTTCCTAACAGTGGCTGAGCCACCTCTCAGGGACAAGCCAGCCAAACTGCTCACGTTAACCTTGGCTTTTATATCTAAGAGGCATCCATTTATACATAATATGTGAAGTTAGGAAATACTGTGACTACTGGCTGGCAAAGAATGATTGGCAATTTTATCATCGTATTTTTATTGAAAATCTGGGCTGGTTCTGTTTTCTTCATTTTAGTCTTCTCCTGAAGGTGATTATTTCGGGTTCAGAGAGGACTCAAGGCCCCAAAGTTATTACCAATATCTTGGGTGGCAGTTCTCTTTCCTGCTAGTGCCATGGGGGAAGCACTAGGTCATTATCTTGATGTATCAATATTTTTGAAGCCAAAAATATACACTGGCAGTGACCAATTTTGCTACTAATACAATTTCACAAACACCGACCACTTGCTAAGTGCTAGATATTGTAATTGGTAAAAAATTGCTCCATAAATTAGTGGAATGAAAAACCAGAATCCCTGAACTATAGAGAGCGCACAGCCTAAGGGTCCCCCCACCTTTACTGGGTACCAATATAGGATTGGGTGCTTCTGTTTTCACTATTTAGGGTCAATGATCATTTATTCAGCAATGTACCTTATGCTCTGGTAAATTTTCACATAACAGTATTAATTTTCACAACAATCCCATGCAGCAGGTGTTCATTGCCTCTAATATTCATTTTTCTAATGAGAAAATTTGGATTCAGAAAAGCTGAGTGACTCATCAGGTTGATATAACCAGTCTTCTGGGTCGAGAGCCAGTGCTCCTCCATCACACCATATCTGCTTCTTCTAACTACTTAGAAACCCACCTGTTATAACCTTGCTGCTCAGTGTGATGCATGGACCAGTATCATCAACCTCACCAGGAACTTGTTAGAAATGCAGGGCCTCCAGCCCCATCCAGACCTCCTGAATCGAACCCTACATTTTAAAAAGATTCTCCGGTAATTTGTTCACACACTGAGATCTCAGCAGAATTGTTCCATAAATTAGCCAAGGCAGCTCAGTGTAGCTCCTGCTGCAAAGCCCCCACGGCTTCGGTCTCTGTATGAGGAAGATCTGGAGAGGGAAAACTAATATTGACTCCATGAGTTTGAGTTCCAGGTGCTAGAAGCAGCATGATGTAAGGCAATTTTACCTGGAAAAGAGTCTTCTATCATAGACCTTGAAAACAAAAAAGTCATGTTTCCAGCACAGACCTTGCATTCAACGGTTCAATTTAGCCAACATCTATCATTGGTCTACTACGTCTTAGCTATTTCTTAAGGGAGGTGGCTGTCCACGCTACCCTCTTCTTACTGGGGGTGAGCTCACTCCTACTGGGCTCCTCTTGACACACAGTCCAGCCCTTGAGAGCAAGGCATAACACCTGTGTGCTTCACTGGATTATTTTTGGGATGTGGCTTGAAAGTTGCAGGGTTCTAAGAAATGTGCATCACAGCTCTCTTAGTGATGCTTTTTTTTTTTTTTTTTTTTTTTTTTTACTGATTCATTCATTTAGTCAACAAACATTTAAAGAGTGTCTGTAAGACTCTACAGAAGTCCACTATGTTCACATACTCCTGGGTTTCTAATCTAAAATACACCTTGAAATACTTCCTCCATGGGCACATGTAAATGAAAGCTTATTTTTTTTAATCCAGGTAATTTGACTATTGATTTCATGGTTAGCAGAATTCTTCCTCCAAGGATTTCATAAATATTTTGTTTTTTTAAGATTTATTTATTTTGGAGGGGGAGGGGCAGGAGAGGGAGAGAGAGTCTCCCAACGCAGCGGGCTCAACCTCATGACCCTCAGACCATAACCCGAGCTGAAACCAAGAGTCAGACGCTTAACCAACTGCGCCACCCAGGCGCCCCTCATAAATCTTTATTAACGTTAATTTGGAAATCCTCCCAAAATCCACAAGAAGATTTGGACTTAGGAAATTAAGGCTGAAGATTAATTCCCTCAGGATATAACGTGAGCTTGGATGTTCTTCAAAATCAGCAGGAAAAAAACCCCACAACAATTTGATAGAAAGGATTTAGTGATTTTCATTTGTCAAGGCTCACATCAGTTAGAATGGCAACTTAAACCTTTTATATATGAATTCAGTGAGATTAATTACCACTTAATGCAGTCTAGGAATCTAAACACTTGAGGCTATCTATTAACATTCATAGGACACAGTGGAAGAGTTAGCAACAAAGTTATTCACAGGGAACTTAATTCTTTATGAAAAACTCTATCTCTATTAATCTCTTGAGGGATGGACATATTTTCAGAAAAATAGCTCACCATGTAATTTTGGTTAGTATAGGAGTATTGCAAAATGCAAAGACAAGACATTTCCTCTTGTTTCTGCACTCTTGGATGATTCTGCTTTTCCCTGGGAGCCTTCGAGAGTCATTAGACACCAACAGGTATCAGGCACATGCCACCTTAACACATATTTTAAAACGTTTTTTTACAAAAGCCCGAGAAACTCATAAGCAGTAATTTTGTTGTTGTTTCTGAAAGGGAGAGAAATCGTGGGAAGAGACAGTTCCTCTGTCGTGTCTCCTTTGCTCAGCCTTTGGTGGGAGCTTATGAAATAAGTGCAGTTTTGGCATAATAACTTAGAGCAGATAATTCATCTCCACAGGACCTTCTTTGGTCATATAGTACTGTGATTACCACATGAGCATTGAACTTCATTTCAACCTGATTCTGGTTTCAGAGGCATCCCTTTTCATATCCACATTACAGCCCATGTTTCTCTACTAATTTTCTCATATCAATTAAAAATTGGCAGCAATATTCCTGCAATTCTCTCGACTAGACTGCCCCTTGCTCAGTTTTGCTTGCTCACATCTTCGTTCCCAATTTGTTTCTAGTTCCCTCTGTCTTCTCTTACTACATGCAGACAACTGACAGATACATTTTTTCTAGAGCACTGCCTTCAACACGGTCTTTTATATAAAAATCTTCATTAAGGCCCGGCTGCATACAGATAGACTGTTTAAAACCTTCCATAAATTGGTTCTGAGCAACATTCCAAACATGACCAGGTACCCATGGGTCCAGCCAGGCTGCGTGGCCTTTGGCACTTATCTTACAGAACCTAAGAGATCACAGATCCCACTGCTTTTTTACCCTCAGTGTACCTTTTTTTTAGTATATGTGCTGCCGAAGCGAGCACGTCTACCCTCAGTGTACCTTAAAATCACTTCAGGTGCTTTTAAAAAGACCTTGGTGTTCCCAGGCCGGACCTCATAATAGGAAATTCTCCATGCGAATATGACAGCCATTCAGAATTGAGAATTATGAGTATAATTCATCCTCCTCGATTTACAGCGGGGGTAAATGAGACTCCGAGGACCTCGGTGATTTGCCCTGGTCCACGTAAGAAGGCTGGCATCACAGAGGTCTTGTGCCTCTCGGCCGGGCATCCATGCCAAGCCGCTTCACAGAAGGCTTTCCCCTCCTCTCTGTGCCGACTCACCAGCTCAAAGCATGATCCCTCATCAGACCTCCTAAACACATAACAAAAGTGGAAAACAGAGATATGCTGCCTTTCTTATATGTTGGTTTTCTTCCTGTATCTCTGTAAGGAAAAAAGACGGCAGAGGAATCGCCGTCCAGAAGCCCTGTTCTGGCCTCCAAAGGGGCAGCTGCCCTTTGTTCTTCAGCTCAACATTCCAGAGTATCTGGGCTCCAGCTCACTTTTCTTCTCCAAGGCCCGGCAGCACAGAGGGGCCCCTGCCCCTGCCCCTGCTTCGCGGAGGGGGCGTGTCCCTCCACCCGTGAGGGGCCGTGCAAGCAAGCGTCGACGCTTCCCATTTCCCAGTAGCTGTTTGTTGGACACTTACTCTCTGCTAAGGACACAGTAAGTGATTCTTGGGCATTCTTTATTTTAATTCTCTTTAAGTATAATGGATTAGGCATAATTACTGCCATTTTTAAGATTTAGACAATACTGGCAACCAACACCCGAATAAAAATAAACAGATTTGGAGAGCTAAGGGAGATACAGAGAGAGAGAGAGAGAGAAAGCATGAGCAGGGAGAGAGGCAGAGGGAGAAGGAGAAGCAGGTTCCTTGCTGAGCCAGGAGCCCAGTGTGGGGCTCGATCCCAGGACCCTGGGATCATGACCTGAGCCGAAGGCAGATGCTTAACGATCTGAGCCACCCAGGCGCCCCACCATAATGATTTTTTTAAAAAGATTTTATTTATTTGACAGAGAGAGAACATGAGCAGGGGGGAGGGGCAGAGGGAGAGAAAGAGGGACAAGTAGACTCCCCACTGAGCATGAAGCCTGACGTGGGGCTCGATCCCAGGACCCTGGGATCATGACCTGAGCTGAAGGCAGATGCTTAACCGACTGAGCCACCCAGGTGCCCTAGATTTTTAATACAATTTAAATCATCATTAAATACACAAATGAATACGTTGCACCAAGTGTAAAATCACACCCCTAACAAACAAGTCATTACCCCTGGAAACCTCGTTCTACAGCAAACACCCAGCCGACAAAGCCAAAATGGCAGACTGATAGTTCAGAATCCACTCAGCTGATGTCAGAACCGCATAAGGGAGAGGGTCTGCATTTTTAGGGGTGA